AGGGACTGCAGCCTACGCCGTCGCCAGCGACCCACGGCAGCCCAGCTCCAGGTCGAGCTGTTGTTCAGCATCCTAGCTGTGGAGGGCAGTGTTCACTGGCCCTCATATGTGGGATCCGAACCGGGGCCCTCTGGCATCCCAAGCGAGCCCTTAACCATCGCGCCACTCGGCCGGCCCTCATCATTTTCTTAATGATTAGTAAGATCTTTTGTTAATAAAGAAAATCATCCTGGCATATATATTGTAAATAATTTCAACTCATTAATCATCTTTTGAATTTTAATAGTATTACTTCTGTACAGAATTTTATATTTTGATATAATCAAGCCCATTAACTTTTTTTGTGGGTCTTTGATATCTGACATGGTGTTTTAAAAGATTTCTTATTTCTTAGCTTTTTTTTTTTTTTTTTAATCACCCAAGTTCTGTCATAGTCCTTTAAGACGTATAGGGAGAGTCACCAGTTCGTAGAAACACTAACTAAAAACTCATACAATGTTTCATGAAAGTCCTAGAAATCAAAGATTTTTAAACTACATGTCCTACTGCCTTCTCAAAGTGTTTAAGTTATAGAATGTTTAAACTTTCCTTCTTTGTTATTTCTGATTTAAGTATGGGTACCAGGTATATTATTTTTCTTTGTCTTTTCTTTTTGTTATTTATAAGAACTTCTATTTTATCAAAATATTGGCCTATTAGCTTCACAACTTACCTTGCATATTGAATTGCTTTGAATGTATTTGTGAGGTCCCCGCCATGTTGGTATGTCTGGGATGTTGCTATAATCATTTCAGCTTTTGTTTTATAAGTGTTCAGGTTAAACACAACTCTTGGCTCATTGGCATACTGAATTAATCCCACCTGCAAGAGAGCAGAAGTTTATTAAAGAGTTGTCATTAAGTTATAAATCATTTGTATTTAATCAATAGAATGAAAATCGAAAGTGCATCTAGACTCTGGCTGATAGCTTACGGGAATCATTTCCAGTGTTGTTCATAAGAAGTTATTTTTCTTCCAATGGGATGACTTTGTTAGAGGCTGTAAGTGTACAGCAGCAGTACTTATTGATAAGCAAGATGAAGTACTATTGTGTATAATTTGCTTCTCAAGTGTTATATCTGTAAGTTTTTAAGCATTGTCCTATACTATTTTAATATGGATATGTGTTAGAATAAAGTTCATAACAGGAAGATTAAAATGATATAATTTTAAAAATTAATAATGGCTATAAACATGTAAATAATTATAAGTAGTCATAGATTGAAGATAATATGTCATCAATTGAGGAAAAATATATAATAAAGAATTAAGAGTTAAATACAAGAAAAAACAATGCAGTCAATTTGGATGTATTTATTGTGCTGGATTTCCTCTAATCACAGACTTCAGGAGGACAGATGCTTTATAGGCACGTGGGGCAGGAGTTTCTGGCCTTCCGAGAAAACATCATTCCAGAGAGTGATTTGAGAGAGCTGAGACTTCTGAACAAGATATTTGGGCACATAATCCTTTAGCTCAAGATGGTCAAACACTTCTGTTAATGACTTTGTCCCCAGCATTGATCACTCTCTATGCCCAGGAGTGGGGGCTTCCAGGGCAGGAAGTGGCAATAAGAGATCAGTGGTGAAAGTGTCTCTGAAATAGAGTTCAGCATGTAAGAAAGGTAGACGGGGCAAAGCCTGGATTTCTGAGTTCCGTCAGCTACTTTCGCTAGGAAGGCAGTTAATCAGCCACTGGGTAGATGGCAAAAATATGATAGTACTGGGTCCCTGTCTTTAGGATGGGTTGGAAGACTGGAGAGAGAAGAAAGGATCAAAAATAACTCTGAGGATTTCAAAGTCTAGTAGGAAGATGGTTGTCACCCCCATGACACGGCCCTAGAACTTCTGTATGAGAAAGGGGAAGGCTGAAGAGAGGATTTAAAGAAATGTGGTGTATGGAGACTTACAGAAAGGTCCCATTTAGATAGCGATAAGAGGACGGCGTAAAACCACCTCTAGAGATGAAGAAGATGCACTGGGACAAGATGACAAGAAGAGGGAGGCCATGAATGTCATACTAGACTATTCAAATAAGTCATGTTATGGGGGAAATTCATTTAGAGACAGAGAAAATAAGCAGATACATATGAAAACGCTTAATGAGGGGCCTTAACAGTGAAGTGATACTCTCCAGAAACCAGAGTTATACCTTGTCTTATTTAACAGAATTTTCTGGTAAAAGCCCACAGCGAAACCTTCGAAGTTTTGGCAGACATTAATGTCCTTGTGGTATTAAGAAGCAACGTCAATGGGAATAAAGGATAACTATATTATAATATATAACGTTGTGTAGGAAAGCAGAAAAGCAAACTTCAATATAGATAACTGCAAAGAATTTCGGGGACAATGCTCCAACAGTTGTTACTAGATGTCGAACACTGCTGCGTCAGATGCAACCCAAGAACATACACTGGTAACTCTGTGAACTGGTCCCCGTTGATGTTGGTTCAATGTACTGCAACAACCAGACTGACCCATGAAATGGCAGATCCAATAAAAAAGAAAGAAAATGCCTCCAGAACTTTAAAAATAAACGCTAGTTAGTTTTCTAGAAGCATGAAGCTTCTGCTCCTGAGTTTTGGTTGCCTGCCTCAAGAAGATAGAAAAGCAAATTAAAGACTTCTTAAAACAGAGAGAGCTGTATAAAATAGATGAAAAGACTTGTCCAGTGTAAAAAAAAAAAAAAAGCTAGGCTCGAATGTGATAAAAGACAATAAAATAATAAATAGTAGAATTATGCTATCTATGAACTTATGTACAAAAATCCCAGAATTCAAGGATAATTGTTTTATCAGCAAGGAGTAAACAAAAGAAATGCATTATTAGTCCAAGTGGGTGTATTGGATTGTAAAATGTACTGATAAATTCATGAGTTAGTGGAAGAACAATACGGAAGTAAAGAGGATTAAAATGCTATATTCCATGTCCAATGCCTGTGTCAGAAATAAAAATCTAAATCGTAGATAGAATAACTCAATGTAGTCAACTGTCAATTAACTTTCAAGATTACCATTATACTCATATGCAATTAATATGGTGATTTGACAAACACGAAAACTAAGACTTCGTATCTAACAATATTTTCTCAGAAAGAAAGCTGTGAGTTAATTTATGTATCATTGATGTCCATACCTGTGTCTTTGTGGGGCCTATATCCAGGCCTTGTACAAATTTTTCCAAAAAATTCTTTACTGCCTCCCAGGGATAGATACTGTTTGATTCATCACATACAACCACAACATCTATGAAGGAAGGGCAGGCTACATAGAGGAAGATAAGAGAAACAGATTTCCACAGGTAAGTCAGACTTCACGCCCGTATGAAAGTGAGACTTAAAGTAAAATAGAGTTGAGGGGTTGGGTGGCGGCACTCATTGATTAATGTTTTCCCTTCATTTAATGCGAGGTATTGCTCCCACCCTCTGCACATTCTTAACTTACTCTGTATGGCTGGGGAAAAGCTGGCCAAGAGCCGGAAATCAGGACTGACGTCAGAACAAACTCCAGTTGTATAATACTGACTTCCACACTGCTGCGCCCACAGGGGACCGCATGTCTTAAAAAAAAATGAGAATGATGAGAGACAAAACATGGAAGATGTTCACCCTCTACCTTTCCACCTGTGAAACTCAAACATTATTTCTATTCTTTTACAAGATAGTAAGAATTGTCAACTCTTGCAACTAACAGGTCAAAAATTCCTGAGTGAAAGTGAGCCAGAGCAAGCCGAAGTGAGGGAGATGGCAGATATGCGGTGCCCAGTGGCAGGCCTCTCGGGCAGCGGGGCCCTGGGACTGTCAGGGGCAGGTGTCCGTGCAGGGAGGAGGCCTAGCAGGTCACCCACTGAGCCAGAGCAAAGGGGTGCTTTTCTCCCAGAAAACAGATGAGTGCGAAGTTCATTTCTTGTCTCTCAGTGACCTGGGTCTCAGGTGCTTCATCTGAAAAATGTGGATAATCCTGTTTTTTTAAAGTTGTGAAGATTAAATGGGCCGATAGGTATAAAAGAGTTAGAACAGTGCTGGGTAAATAGAAAGTGGTATGTAACTGTTAGCCAGCATCCTCCTAGCCCTTCCATGGGTACTATTCAGCAGAAACCATAAACCCACATGTCCTCGAGGGCCAGGCAGGGATCCTACAAGAGCGCTTGGGGCCAGGGAGACACCAAGGTGCACGAAGAGCCCATGCATTTTACTCAGGGACAGCCACTGTGGCTCCCGCCCATTGACTGGCGTGAAACAGCCTTGGGGCTGCCAGAGCTCCCAAATTTTCAAGGAGAGTCAGAGAGGACAAATTTTGTGTGAAAATCCCCAGTTTTTTTTTTTTTTTTAAAACAAACACTCTGTGTGGTAAACAAATACAAATGAGTTCTATGAACTGCCAGTTTTTAACTTTGCATAAAGTATTTCTTTGAGGACTTCACTTATTTCCAATCTCTAAAACCTTCAGTCCTCCAGGCTGTTACTTGTCTTCTTGCCCACATCATCTGTGCTTCAATTCTTCATCCCTCCATGAACCCAATCCCATCTTCCCTTTTCAGGAGCCCTTGAATGCCAAGGACCTTTGATTAAATTATGGTTAAATCAGACTGGAAATATTAGATTAAATAATATTAAAATCATTAGATGTAAAAGGGAAAAAAATAGGGAAGAGAAGTCTAGCCGAGATCTTAAACATCACAAAGTTTAACATTATGCTAAGCCATGGTGGACTGGTTATTAAAATTGAACAGAAAAGTGTGGACTTGCAAAAAGCAATTGGAAAAATAAAAGGAAATTTATCTGACCCAGTTTAATTGTTGGTAGCTTAAAGGAGAAGGAAGCAGCTGTGGTCAGATTTCATGCTCGATGAACAAGGAGAGTTCCCCCCACCCCCTATGAAACTGGTTCATTTTGCCAATTAGTTAGGGGGAAATCATAAGCGATGCCTTTAATAGTTTACCAAACAACAGTAAACCAATTATTGATTCTCATATCTCCACCCCCAAGTTGGTTTTTTCTAATAACCTTGAAAAATAACAACTCATGAAGTATTCAAAAAAAATTTTTTTTTGCTTTAAAAGCAATGGAAAACAGCATTAAGAAACTGAAATTAGAATATGCCAATTGTTAATGCCAGAACTACATTCTTGCTTAAAGCCCAGAACTTTAAGAAGGTTCAAAAAAATGTGATGATTGTCAGTCTTTTCCAAATAATTCTTAAGAGTATCTTAAGGTTTTGATCTTTTAGGAATGTAAAGAAAGCTTTGGCTTTTTTCTCCCTTCTTTCTTTTTTTCCCCTCTCTCTCCCTGCCACTTCCCCGTCCCTCCCTGCTTCCTACTTTGTTAAACTAATCTCTCAAATTCTCTTGCAATTTTATTTTACTCTACCTGAAGTTACAGGTTAAAAACTTTTTTTTTTTAATTTTATTTTTATTGGGGAAGGGAACATTATGTTTTTCCAGGACCCATCAGCTCCAAGTCAAGTTGTTGTCCTTCAATCTTAGTTGTGGAGGGCGGCTCAGCTCCAAGTCCAGTCACTGCTTTCAATCTAGTTGCGGGGTAGGGGATTGCGCAGACCACCATCCCATGTGGGAGGTGAACTGGCAACCTTGTTGTTAAGAGCACACACTCTAACCAACTGAGCCATCCGGACGCCCAGGTTAAAAACCTCTAAAGTTTATTCTCTAATCCCTATAGCTCAATATATTTCTCTTTCTGAATTTATTCAACTTTAAAGACTAACAAGGAAATAAAGATGAGAGCAATCCTATTATAAGGACTTAGGAATATCATAAACCATGAAGATTCATTGTAATATTCATTTATGCACTGATGGAACATGCATTACAAGCAGTACTTGATTTACCTAGTGGTACCAAAGTCTGTCTGCATTCTAATATCTGTCAGTGAAAGGAGACTGTCATTGTTCAAAATGGATTACATTTTAGAATAATCTAGTTATACACATAGACATTTAGGTTAGCATGTTAATGGTATAGCTATAACTAATGAGAAGTTACAATAAGCTTTCTAACACTATTATAACATGGTGGTACAACTAGGGTATACCTATATATGCTGGTGGAAATGTCTAATAACATTGGGTTTTTATTTGCCTTTAAACTTTTTTTGGTGTGTGAGGGTTTTAATTTTTTTATATAGTCAAATCTTTTCAACAATTTCCTATATTATTTTTCCTCTTAGTTCTAAACTCAGAAATTCTTCCCTCTTTCAGAGAATTTCTACTTTCTTCTACTTTGATATATTAACTCTTTAATTCACTTGAAAGTATAGTTGGATATGCAAGTTACTAACCAACTAATTGTCCCAACTTGTTAAATAAGGCATTCTATTTCACTGATTTGTGATGTCTTTTCACAGCATTCTAGAAACAAAGTGAAAGTAAACATGAACATAAAATAAGATGAGACTGAGCTATGCCTTCAATAATATCAGATTAGCCAAAGGTTAGAGGAAATGATTAAAAACAAAACTACATTTTGGCTTTGGAACCTACTTCCTGAATTAGCAGTCCCCTATCTTGAATGTCCCTACAGGAAGGAGAAATGAGGCCTGGAATTCTGCTGTTATCAACAAGACCAGGCACACTTTCCAAGGGCAAAGAACTGATGCCAATTTTGTTGCCCGTTTTCGAAACATTCTGTGGAGATTGTTTTGCTGAATATCTTCAGAAGCCTACACATCAACAGATCGTTATTTCATGTTGGATAGCTACATAGCATGATTTATCAAAAAGCATGCTCTCACATTTAAATCTCAAGATTTGAATGGATAGAAGGGATAGTGAGAGACGCCAACCTTGTGCTTTTTTTTTTTTTTTTTTTATGAGCCATCCTGCTACCTATTGGCTGCTCAGCTCGGGCTGGCCTCGAACCGCTGTTGCTCAGAGCTCAAACTCTTGAACGAGCTCTTAACCAACTGAGCCACTCGGCCGGCCCTCAACCTTGTGCTTTTTTGAGGGGAATGAGGATTTGAAAAGTAAATACTCACAAGGAATCCTCCGGTTCCCATGTTCCTTGTGAGTGTCAAGCCAAGGCTCATGTTGGTTTTCATCTCAGTAACATTGGAAATGCTCGTGGAAGCTTTCAAAGGAAAAAAAAGTTTAAAAAGTGACTACATTTTCACCATTTATTTAAAGTTGCTAAAAGAAACCTACGCACACTCATGTGTATATGTAGCATTAAATTTAGTGTCATCTCCCCTGGTGCTCGCATTATGTAGTCAAATGTAGGGAAAAGAGAGGCCTCAGTGATCAGGAAGCTCCTGTAAATGTGTGAGGCTGCATATGTAAGATTCTAGGGGGTGGGGTGTGGAGAGAGCATAACTTACAGGCATTTAAATTTAAATTTTTAAAAAACAAAGTGCAGGCCAAACAAAACACGTCTGAGGACACCATTTCGTCTCCCGTTTGTCATCCCTGCTCCTTCCAAGGTCATGGTGACTCTATCTAAGGCTTCATTGTGGATCAGAAAAAAATATCCTTAAAGTATTATCAAAGAATGCCATATGGTAGAATCTGGCTCAAAGGTGAGTGAATTTTAAAAGGAAATAATGAGGCTAATCATGGAGAATAATAAATAAATGTTTCCAACCTCCTCTCTCCCACTGAACCGGGGCATCATCCACTATATCCATGCTTCAACTGCTGAACATTGCAATTCTCCTCAATAATGTCATTTACTCATGCTCTTTAATCTCTGCCAAGCCCACATTGCCACTTTTATTTACCCTCCATGTCCCAAGTTGACTGTTTGAAAACTTGATCCTTCTTCTCAAGCCTCCAAGCTCAACTCAGTTCTCATCACTCTCTGAATAACCTGCCTACACTGCAGAGAAGATAGTCACACTCAAAGGATAATCTCAGCTGCCATCATGTTTACCTAAAGTCCATTCTTAGACCGCTTACTTTTTCTCTTTTCTTTGTGTTTTAGAGAAGGATCATTCTTTCTAAGACTCATTTTCCTAGGGACCAGTGACATTAATCCCATCCGGTTAACTCTATTCTTCACTATAAGTCACTCCCTTTTTATCGCCTCCTTCCACTCTCCCTAAAAATAAGACCATCTCCTTTTTATTGGAAAATCTTCTCCTAACCCTGCTACCCCACTGAACTATTTTCCCAATTTTCCTCCACTACTCAGCTTCTGGAAATGGAGGTCTACTTTCACTCCTTGTGCTTGTTCACTACTCACCCACTCCTGAAGTCTTTGTAATCTATGTTCTCCCTTCAGCACTATTGGATTTATACTCAGGACAAGGAAGTCACAAAATATGATAATATGGAGTGCAGAAAGAAAATAATAGAGCTTCTATGTGTATGTTTTTATTCTTTTTAAATTTATTTTTATTTAGAAAGATAATATGTTAGTACATGTATGTAATTTTTAAAAATAAAATATATACATTAGAGGTGAGTGTTCAAAAGTTAGAGGGTATGAAACATTAGGGGTGATATAATAAAAATTTTGAGCCCTCACCCCTAATGTGTATATTTTTATTATTTTCACAGATTTTATATATGTATATATATTTATATCTGTATCATATATATGTGCATCATCTATATTATGTATATGTCATATATGTATTATATGTGTGTCATATATATTACATATGCATCATATATATCTATTATATGTGCATCATATATATATATATTATGTATGTATCATATATATGTTATGTATATATGGTGAGTGTTCAAAACATTTGGTGAACACTCATCTCGACCACCCACACCTCCTTAAATACGATAATGGTCTGTACTCGATCCTCATATTCTTCAACCTCTATCATTTGACACCACTGATACTCCTAGCATCTCACTAAAAACATAGTATAGCCACTATGCTATGCCAGAAATGGTGCTGGAAATCAAGTATACAAAATGGTGTCAGAAACACTCCCACCTTTGTTTCTTAGCCTTAATCACTGTTTCTGAATCTCTTTTTCCCTTGATTTCCATAACACTACGTGTTCCTAATCCATGCCTTAATTCTTCAGAACTCTTAAGAATCCTCAGTGCTGGCTTTTTGGAATGATGATGATAATCAAATTAGGCAACTTTTTACTTGCATTAGGAAATGCTGTGTGGAAATATGACTCATTTAGGTTTCCGGTCTTGTACCCTTAATAAGTTTTTGCACTTAATAGAAAGCACCTGAGATGTGAATGATTAAAACAGCAATTCCAAGCAATTATAGATAATTCCAAATTGTGAATATATTTTCTTAGCATGAAATCATTTAGACATGATCAGAAACACAGAGTGTTTCTCAGCACCTCTAAGAGCAGTCCTAGTACTGACATTTCTATACTTAATGGTTTGTTTTGAGGGAGAGAGGTATGCCTGGCCTCAGATTTTTGTAAATAATCATCAAAGTAACCCTAAACTCTGGTTGAAATGGTTCACAGTCTGGGGAGGGGTAGATGGTCCAGGAGGCTGCACATTTCCCATGCACCTTATTAAGTCAAGTCTTCAAACTGTTTTGGAAATTTGGATACAATTGGGATCCCCCCTAGGACTAAAGAGATAAAGGCAAAAAAAAGCTGTCCGTATTTCTTTAAGACAGAACTATCATTGGTTTTGTTATTTTTTAATTGTGCATATAACAAATCAGATTGTATTTGTAAAAAACACACAATGCTAATTACAACTTACTTTGCAAATTGAGTTTTTCACATGTAGCAGTGGACGGATCAACAGGACATTTATACACATCTCCCATTCGGTTCTCAGGAAAGCCACTCCAAGGTGAACCAACCAGTAACCTAAAAATAGGAATTTGTTTTTTTCAGTAGATATAAAATGTTCACTAATGTTTCTTAAAGATAAAGCTGACCACAAAACTAAAACAAAACAAAACAACAACCACATTTAATTTCAATTTTTAATAAGTGAATAGTTCATGTTTGTTTAGCTATAGTTTGATCTTTTTTCTTTCCTCTTTGCTGATTGGGATCCTTGTTGAATGTCTTGCCACAACACCCTGGGAGGCCTCTTTAAGGCAGTGCTGTCCAACAGAAATATAATATAAGCCACAAATGTGAGCCACATGTATAATTTGAAATTTTCTCATAGCTACATTAATAAAATAAAAGGTAATGTGAAATTAAATAATATACTTTGTTTAACGCAATAGATCAAAACTAGCATGCAATCAATACAAAAATAATTAATGAGCTATTTGACATTACTTGTTCCCATTGCAAATCTTTGAAATTCAGTGTGTGCTTTTTATACTTAGAGCATATGATATAAATAATAGTAACATTTCAAGTGTGCAGTAGCCACAGATGGCTAATGGCTATCATACTGGTCAGCATAACTATAAAGAAGGAAACAATATTAAAACCAAAAGCAACAACTAACATTTGTTGAGTGTTTCTATTCCCTAAGCACTTTCATAGCAATTTGTTATTAAGGAATGAACAGATAAGTTATCTAAGTGGCTTTATGTTTTTTGTCTATATAAGGGGATCCTTAGCAAAATTACAAAGCAACTATACTATGGGGCTGTCCTTATGTGTATCATGTTTACAGCAAATACAGGACATAGAGGTCAGAGATGGATGCGCACATCCTCCCTTTGGTTAGTTTCACTTCTTTTAGAGTTTCCCCAAATAGATGCTATGGGTTTCCATGTAGAACCTCTCGCCCAACATTTCTGGCCACAGAGGAATGGACAGAGAGAGTCTATATAACAGTCTGATATTTAGAAACTATAGCAGGCTAGTTATTCAGCAGCATTCAGTTACTAAGGAAGAATATTTGATTCAACGTTTTTTCTTTGTCAAAGTTCAGAAGGATTAGATGATCTATCTATGAAACTTAAATTCTTTCATAAGCCTACTGTATAAATATTCTACCATTATCAATTAATCAACACATGCCCCAAGCTAAGGGCCACAGTGGATAAAAAAAGAAATCCAAGGCACACTTCTATTAACTAAATCTAGTAAAACTGTTTAAAATACATGACAACTAAAGTAATAATAATACAAATGAATGAAAAGACATGAATACGTTTCCCTCTGGAACAAGTATTAAAATGGTCAAAGGATGCAAAAATGGATCTCAAAGGATGAAGGTGGTAGTTGGCCTTCTTAGCAGAGAGAAGGACAAGAGCAATCATGGAAAGAGGAACATACGGATTATTTTGAGAGACCATTAATGATTCAGTAATAATTGTCTCTCCTTATTCATCTTACATAATTATGCTCAAAGTAATATTTTATAGAGCATTCTTGAATACTTTAATTCAGTTAACTTTGATTAAGATTAGAGTTGAAAGTGCTTTGTCTTTCTATGAGCAGATAATAATTTAGCATGATTTACCTATTAAAATATTACCTATAGATAGGATTACAATAATCCCAGGCGTATAAATTAAGGTTTTTGAAAAATATAAACATCTAAATGTTGGACATTAGCAAGCGCCAATATTTGCCTTAAGGGAGGGAGAGCATCAGTAGCAGCATTTGAAATGCATGTTTGAGCATATCTGATGGTCTTCATGACAACTTAGAGGAAATTCATGACAACTCAGAGGAAATTGGGAAATTTTTGAAGACTCTGTACTGTGAAAACTGTCTCCCAGCCGCTTGTTTTTCTCCATCGGCACAAGTCCTTGGTCTTCCTTCCATAGTGGGACCACACCGCATTACCTCTGAGTTTTGTGTGCAGGACACATCTTAAAGTATAAGAAAGAAATAAGGAGATAATCTGGCTCTGGCTTACTTCTCCAACCCTGTTCCTTTCCATGCCCTTCCTGAAACTCTATTTCAATCATACTGAACTCAGCTCCTCCACCAAATCAGAGCCTCTCTTGCTTCTAAACCTTTGCGCATGCTGTTCCCTGCCTGGCAAAGCTCTAGTCATTAGTTAAGTCTCCCATTAGACACCACTTCCTCCAGGAAGTCCCATGGGCCCTTTCGGATCTGGACATGGTGGCTTTCCTGAGTACCTCCACAGCCTCTGACTTTTCCTAGGCCAGTTTTTATCCCATTACCCTGTAACTGCCTGCCTACTGACTAAATCCCCCACTAGAGAAGAACTGTCCGTGAGGGCTAGGAATTGTGCTGTAGCACAGGGTCACTCTGGTTGAAAGAATGAATGAAAAAACAAATAAAAAAACAAATGAATGTATGATTCTACATTATTATTTAAGAGAACTCTCTTGGCTGAGAAAAAATTAAGTAGAAAATGTTTAATTATGTTCTTACTGAGAATTTCTTTTTGTCCAAGTTAAAGTAAAAAAAAAAAAAAAAAGAGAAGGACTGGCTGAACGGTGCGTTGGTTAAGAGTTGGCTTGGGACGCTAGCTCTGAGCAGCAGGACCCCGGTTCGGATCCCACATGAGGGCCAGTGACACTGCCCTCTACAGCTAAGAT